ACCAGGACCCCTGGATTATAGACCCAGCAGGAGCTCTGGCACACCCCTGTCAAAATTCCCAGCCTTGGCTGCAGCCAACACCTAAAGTTTTGGAAGAAGGAGAATAAAACCATGACACCTTCAGTGAAAGATGGGGGAAAAAATCCTTCCCAAGCTCCATGTGCATAGGCTTCCTGCTTTCCACAAACTTCAGAAGTAAAGTTCAGAACCAAAGCCCTTCCACTCTGTCCTGCAACCTGGGAACAACAATCATGACTGTCACACCCCTTTCTGTAATCCCTGCATAAACTTATTTTAGCTCCTTTAATCTTCTTTCATAACTAAGCAGACTGTGGAGCTCTGCTTCATTCTTCTGCTACTGAGCACAGTCTTTTCCAACATCCACATGCTCTAGGATGCAGGGCTCCTCCCATGATCTCTCCTGCAATCCATGGATGTATGTCAGGGGATGATTCTCCCTGGCCTTCCAATTGTTGCTCTTCACAGAGCATTTGAGACATAGCTATTCTAGATCATCTCTGACAAAGACCCTTGCTAGATGTGGAGGTAAAGGCACAATGAGATCTAATGTGCCATTCACACAGTCATGCCTTCTGCCATGCCACATGTGTATGGCAGGAGGTGTGATTGTGGGGTATGCATTACATTCCATCATATCTTATTGCTGGTGCAGGGGGAGCCTGACACCAGGCTCTCCCCCCACTGGCAAAAAGCAAGCTCCCACAGCTGGGAGCCCAACAAACCAGTTGAGGGATTCCTAGTCACACGGGCACCCCCCCACCATGACTGGAAGATTGCCACAGGGGTGAGCCTTCCACCCCAGGGGTATGGGAAACAATTGGGACCAAAGGACTGATGTTGGGGCAACCTCCCTCTCCCCTCTGGGGCTGCTAGAAACCACTGGGGCAGAGAGGGGAAGGGAATTTAAAAAAAATGCCCTACATCAACCTATCTAACTTTAGTTGCCTTGCCTCACTCCCCAGAGCCCTAGGAATTGTAGCAGCCATGATCCCCAGGATCCAGGGGTTTCATGTACTTCCTTGAACCCTAGGGATAACAGCAGTTGCAATCTCCAGGGTACAAGGGTGTGTGAAAACCCTGGGGATTATGGCTACTGTAATTCCTAGGGCACAGGGGTTTTTCCACTGGATATGATGTACCCCTGTGGCTGGAAGCACACAGCTGATTGGGCTCCCAGCAACAGGGGAGACCCTGCTACATGTGCAAATTGAAACTCAGCTATAAAGTTAGACCTGAAATCAGCTATAAGGCTAGACCTGAAAAGTTGTGTGATAGTTGCCTTGCAAGTGTAGCTAGTCTCCAGCTAATTGCACAATTAACCAGTTAATTGTGCAATACCTGGAACTTGTAGAAGGGGCTTAATGCTTCTCCAACTTCTTCCTGAAAACCTCCAGTGATGGAGACTCCACAGTTTCCCTCAGCAGTGTATTTCCCTGCCTCCTGATTCTAACAGTGAAGCTCTTTGCAGCTCTTTCTTGCCTAGGGAGATGTGCACATCATCTTCATAGCTGCTAAGGGTAGGAAATGTGTCCATCTGCTACTTAATACTTCACATTGTTTGCATTATGAATAAATAATAATAATAATAATGATGATGGAAGCTTTACATTCCCATTTTCTTAGTTTTAAACAGCCTTCTGTAAAGTCTGTAATTCATCTATGAAAGTGTTATATGATCTGACAAAGCCATACAGTGTAAGGCCTATAAATATGAAGGTACTATTTCATATGCCTGTGTGATTGCTTTTGAACCAGTCACAAAAGATCACAACATTCTTTATTTAAAGCATAATATATAATACTACATACAAACCGTTGTACAAAAACTGACACAAGATCTACAAAGAAATACTGCCCCTCCACCATTACTACAAAACCTTGACCCAGGCTTCTCCAGCTCATTTGCTGTCTACAGCACTGGCAGAAAGAAAGCCATTCGTTTATCAAACTGCCGGACGGCACAGAAAGTGCCACTACTGAGTCACAGAGGGTGTGAGTGTTCCAAAAGCATTCACGTACAGCTAACAGCCACAATTCCAACAAACATTATTCTTTTGGTTTTGATTCTATTCCTACCCCATTTCTTGATCTTTGCACCTCCATAATGCAGCTGATTCCAGTTTCTCTGGCCTTCATTATTGCCCTGAACTTCCACATTTTCCTGCAATACCTTCTCTCAGTTTTTATCTAGTACTTGCTATTCACTCATCTCTCTCACTTATTATTTTGGTTTAAAAGCTGTCCTGTTATTTACATACACTTTTCTCAACTTAAATATGTACACTTGCTGTGTTTCTAAACCACATTTCTCAATTCAAATTTTATTGTAATTCTCCATCTCTATGAACAATCCCAACCACTTAGATCAAGATGTTGGGATGTCCTTGGAGTCTAAAAATGCAGCGATATTTGAAGTCATTGGCACTCTGCAGAGAAAATTAATCTATGTTTTTTAAGATGGTTTAATTGCTCAGCAATCATGCAGAACTGAGAAATATAGCTCTGCTTCCAAGATAATAACTCCCCAAATTGCTAAGGTTGCCACTCAATACCCTTGCTAACTCACAAATTGTATAAATATGCCTAGTCTCCAAAACTCAGATAAAGTTAGATTATTATTGAGCATTAGAGTCCACGGCATTTTATAACATTTTATATAACTTGCTAAGCACAGTTATCATTAAAAAAAGCAAAAAGAAACAAGAGAGTATAATTCATTTTGCTTGCAAGTAAAGAACTTGACTCATGTCTGGCCACCTTCTAGAACATATATTTAAATAAAACTTTAAAACTTCAATTTTGCCTAAGTGAGGATGGCAAGATGTGACCTTTCATCCAAGTTACCACTAATAAGAATATTCCACTTTGATTTACCTTTGCAGTTTTCTCTTGTAATTTCCACCCTTTCTCTATGCTTACAACACCAAGATGAAACTATGTCAGTGCTTGTAATGTTATGAATTCTATTCCAATTATTCATCACTATTTAACATTTTAACACAGTATTTACATGGCTAACAAGATATCAAAAGAAGAACATTATCCAGTTTGCATGCTGATTAAAATTCTTCGGAAATGATGTGTTATCAAAAATGGTATAGGACAAATCTGGGTCCCTGTGTAATTATCCTCCAAACTGAGTTAACTGCCTAAGCGTGTTTAACGTACTTGAATTTTTGGATGTGTAGATACTAAAAATCTGACACTAAGTGATTTAGGAGCCTGAGGCACTTTGAAAACAGGATGTAGGTTCTTCAGTCCCAGTAACTTTCAATGAGAATGAGGCTCCCAAATCATCCAGGTGCTTTTGAAACTTTTATCCAGAGTCTCAAATGCTTTTAAAAACCTGGGAAAATAAAATTCAAGAGGAATTCCAACCATATGAAAACAGTATACTGTTCAGGACCATGGACAGGATTTTCAATAACTATTCGAGAAAAATAAGTTATTCGAGAAAAATACAGATTAAACTCTGCTATTGTTATTTCATGTTCAGTGATATTTTTATCAGTTTTTAAAACTGTGAATAATTTTGCTGAAATTATAACAGTTTAAATAACAACAATATACAGAAACACGCTTTAAAACTGGAACCAGAATAAAACTTTTGTGATAGAGAAAATAAATAAATAATAAAATAAACTTGCCAGAGCCTCCTAGCATTACACGCTATTACCAAAAGTATGGACAATTTACATTTACAATATTTGTCTTTATTTGGTATAGTGTACTAAAGATAAAAGCTCTGTATAAAAATTATCACATAATGCAGCTCCTTTATCTTTAAAGTTTTGTATACGGTTTTCCAATCTCTACTACGATTATAGGAAACAAATAAACTATCTTATAATACAGGCTTCTTTCACTTTGTTAAAATAAGCCAGTAATGCATGTTTCATAAATCACAGCATTTATGATGACAAAATGTTTAACTAATGAAACTGGTGACAATGAAACTTTTTCATCTTTTAATATATACAGATATAAAACAACTGGCAGTAGTAATTTTCAGTGAAAAAACCTACTTTACATATTCAGTATCATAGCTATGACAAAACAGCTCAGAACTGAGGACAGGATGAAAAACTGCCTTCTTAAATTAATCAAGCTTCCTAAATCTCTGTTAGCCACATACAAAAATATTTCTACAATTTTCTCTAAGCTGCTACAATACGACATCAATACCATTAATATCTCCATTGGCATTTTTAAATAAGTAATCTACCTTACTACGAAAAACCATTGAATCTTAATGTCAACAGTGGCATTTTATACTTTCAAACTCTAAGGAAGCAGCTAAACTCTGACTGACATATATAACATACTTTTAACATATATATTCCTGAATTAGACCTGCCGCACATATTAATCAGACTTCCTCAATCAGCTTCACAGGCACTTTCATAAGTGTACACTGAATGACGTATGCCATTGACTTGGGGCTAAATACTGGTGTCACTGAAATCAAAGGGAAATCTGCCAGTGATTGAAATTGCATCAGGGCCGATCCTTTGATAAGTTTAAGGTTTACTTATTATTTTGTGAATAATGATTACTCTACAGTATTCAAGACAATACCTAGGCATTATTTGGTAAGTACCACTACCTGGTAAAATGGGAATATTCAAATAACAAAACATACACTCACACTTTGCAGAGGCTTTGAAAAATATTCTAATTGCACTGTCAAATTGAGCAAAGTTCAATAACAACTGGCAAAGAAACCTGCCTTAATTTTGATTTTTAAAAAGTTCAAACTTTTATCTCTGGCCCCCTTCATTTTTCCAGCACTCTGAAACCTATTCACATATGTAAACTGTTTCACAGATTTAAAAAGCACCTGCTCAAGTCCATACAGTTTCTGTAACAAAAATGTATGTCTTGCATCTTCTAATACAGTTTTTGAAATTGAACATTGCCCCACATGTGCCAATAAATTCAGTGAAATGTTGGCCCTGGCCAAACCCATCTCCACTTACCCCAGTGTTGTCATAGTGACAATGGTGTACCAAAATGCAGCAGGGATGCTGGTGAACTTGCTGGCTGATGAACCTTTCTCTGCATAAAACATGACCGTGGCAAAGATGATAATGGCCATGGTAAGTGAAAAGAGGAGAAAGCCTAACTCCGAGGCACAACTCTTCAGCGTGTAGCCCAGGATACGCAGCCCCTGCGAGTGACGGGAAAACTTAAAGATCCGGAAGACACGGAAGACACGCAGTGTCACAAAAGCCCCACTGACATCCTCATTATCTGTCATCACCAGGCCAATGTAATACGGCATGATGGCAACTACATCAATAATACTCATGACACTGCGCACAAACTTGTAGCGGCTGGGAGCTGCCACCAAACGCAGCAAATACTCAACAGTGAAAATCATGACACAAGCTGTATCCAGGCAGAAGAAAGCTACAGCATAGCGCTCTCCACAGGGCAGCTCCTTGATACGACCAGGACTTAGGCCACAGGGCACTGTTTCCACCACGTTGGCGATGACAGAAACAGCAATGAAGAAACCAGTGACATAGTAGAAGACCAGGGCCAGTGTACTGGTGTGTGGGTTTTCGAAGGCCCGCCACATCCTCTGCCGAGCTGTCATGGAAGGCAGAGAGTTCTCCGCTGCGTGATCCTGGTCAGCATCATCCTGCAGGCGCTCAGCGTTCTCACGCCGACGATCCTTGTACTCCTCATAGCAGCAATCGCCAATGATCTCAGGGATGATGCCAAAGAAGGCCAGCTCCTCATCGTACGCCGAGATACACTCTTGCCGGGGGTAATGAAGCTTCCCTGTACGGTAGAAATTGAGTATGTGACGGAAGATATCAGGATCTCGGTCAAAAAAGTACTGCTGCGTTTCTGGGTGGTAGAAGAAGTCTCGCTCTGAGCTGCCCAGCAGCGTATCCGGGTAGCGCTCCAGGGTATCCAGCCAAGTCTGGAACTGGATGCCACTCACATTCAGCACAATCAGAGAGTCCTGGCTTCGCTTTCTCTCCTGCCGGGGAGCAGCTGGCATGGGACTTGTGGCCACTGGCATCCATCCTATGGCTGCTGCCCGGGCAAAGGGCAACCAAGCTGCTACTCCTGCAGCCATGGTCCAAGCTGCTAAGGCTGCCTCTGCTGAGGGATCACTTCAGAGCCAATCCTGGCTTGGCCACTAAATACATAAATTTAAAAAAAACACAAAACCCTGAATGAGACACAAATGCTCAAATGCTCCCAAAGCCACGGCAGGTCCTGCAGGCTCCTAAGTGCTGTTACTCTGCCTAAACAGTGAAGGCTGTCCTGAAAATGTTGCCTGCTCCTCTTTTGTCTCCCGACCACTGCCTGCTAGTCAGTCAGCAGAAGAGATCGGGAGACAGGGAAAGTCATGATGTCCCCGTGTGCAGTGAAACCAATGCCTCCCCCTCCCTACCAGCTGGCTCTTGTGGAGAAAAGCTCCGTATGTTGCATGTAGACAGAAGGGAGAGGTGCAAACGCGAGTCACCAGCGGATGGCTCTCGCTTCCTCAGAGCAGCCACCTGAGGTGAGGAGGGCTCTTCTCGGCCCCTCCGCCAGAGCCCCCAGCCCGGCTCTTCTCCGCCGCTCCTGCCCGAGCCCCTTGAGCGGGATGCCGGGCGCTGGCGAGCCCCTCCCACGCCCCTCCCCTCGCCTCCCGCCCCCTCCCCGAGAGCTGCGGGGCCCCGGCGGGAGTGGGCAGAGCGGACGGCCGCCCCCTCCCGAGCGGGCCCCCTGCGGAGC